ACTCTTCCTGATGACGGATCTTCGAGCAGTTTTCTTGAGGGAAGTAAGTCTCAAGAAAATACCAAAAAGATTTTTGTTTTGTTTTAGGTAGTGTAGTAACTCCCCTTTGGTTTTTCTTTGGGCCATGGTTCTTTTCCAAGGATTTTGCTTGAACCGGGTGTAGTTAGTTTTTGTTTATTTTGTTTCTAGTTTTTAGTTAGTATTGATGGGCGATGAGCTGAAATAGAAAGAGAAAATTTCTTGGCGTGGATACACCTGAACACAGTAGACACTAGAGTGTGACACGTAGTCTCAGTGGTTGATTCTCGTTAAGAGTGCCTTAAATTGTATGTCTGTAACTGACTTGAGTGCTCGATTGAGAGTGTCTTCATGAGCCGATCTGGAGTGAGTCATGTGCCATGTGTGTGTGAGTTGTTTTGTATTCTATGCTCTACATTTGATGCCTAGAACTTGCCCCGTGTGTTTGCAAACGAAATAGTAGCTTTATTCAGTCTTAGAAGTGATATAGGCATTTCTTTGTTAAGCCAGATATATAAACTAGACCCATCTAAATGTGATAAATCGTAGTTAGCCCCGTTGAGCCTATAAGCATGTTTCTTTGGCAACCACATTACAAACCTTACCCAATTGTTTGAACGGCCCATCTGTTTGAACTCCTTTACCTCCCATGAGCACTTGAATGGTTATGAAATATGCAAAAGCTAGAGTGTGGGGTGGTGGTTTGATTTTTGAGTGGAACCGATGAAATAGCGAAAAAGGTGCAGTAATTTGAAAAAGTAGAAGAATAAGCACCACAGAAAAAAATAGAAAAAAAAAGAATGAGTAAGTGTAGTACTTGATAAGTGGTGGCTTGATACAATTGCACCTAATGAAGTTTGGGGTATTATAAATAGAAGTGGGGTGGAATGGCTGGTTTGACATAAGTATGGCTTCGGAATGTGAATGGTATTGTATTAATAGTTCTTAGGGAGGTTAGTTACTATACCCAACTATATCCTACCCGTCCCTTAGCCTACATCACAACCAAATGAAGACCTACTTGATCTTAGACTGTATGGGCTCGATTAGTAGAGTAGTACACTACGGGCAAGCCTATGGTGCATCTGTGTGGCATATGAATTTCTTTCTAAGAGTGAGCGAATTTTGTCTATCTAAGTTCCTAATTGTTCTTAATATTATAATTTGTGGAACTACTCTCTTGTGTGATGTGAGGGCATGTGATTCACGAAGGAAAGGTAAGTCTTGATCTCCGTATAGAGTAATTTGAGTAAGTAGGAATATTGCACGGCACGTGAGAGTCTAATTTTGAGGCAAAGATTGTACACTACTAGACGTAACTTTGGTGAATTGTTCTTGGTGTGATACGTTAGGGGAAAAGCTTAGTGAAGGATCCTTTAGAGAGTAGAGTGGATTGCTCGAGGACTAGCAATAATTTAAGTGTGGGGTGTTGATAATAGGCTAGATTCATGTAGTTTGGCGACTATTTATGCCCCAACTTGACTATGCTTCACTGTTCTAAGATGGTTAAATGACGATTAATTGGCTCTAATTGTGAATTTCATGTTTTGCAGGAGCGAGTTGCGCTTATGAGGACTTAAGACAGTTTTTGAAGCTAAATTGAAGCAAGGGAAGCCCCTCGGAGCTGAGTACAGCCCCTCGGAGCTGAGTACTATGAAAGAAGAGAGCAAAGAAGAGCTAAAATGATGAACCAGCTTAGCGCGGCCATTAGCGCAACCGCGCTAGCCCAGGAACTCGAGACAGAATACTATGCTATATGCGCGGCCGCGCTAGTCCAGTTCGGATTTCATAATTGCAGGGGTAAACTTGGAAGTTCGGGGGTAATTCCACTTAACCTATAAGAGGTCCAGCTCGCCCAAAGGGACATTATCAAGGTTTTTACAATTGAGTTGAAGGCAAGAAGAGGCAAGAGGCAAGGAGGATAATTCGACATCGAGTTCTATCTTTCTTCCTTTTGTATTTATCATGTATGATAAATTTTGATGCTATGATGAACACGTTTATGAGTAGCTAATTATTTAGTCTAGGATTTTGATGGAACCTGTTGAAGGATAAACTTCATGTTATGTTAATATAGTTTGCCCAGTTTAATCTCTATTTGTTCAACTACGTTCTTGTTGTAGTTAATTGATAGGATCCTCAATTAGCTGTGCCTATTTAGTAAGTATTACTCGGGAGAGAGTGCATATTTAGGTAATTGTTCAACAACACCACTCCCAAAGTATATGAGGGATCAATAACTGAGGGTTTAAAGGCGGGACTAGGGATAATGAAGCCTTGGGTGTGATCTAAAGTGAGCTGTAATAAAAGCCAGCTAGCGTAACTTGGGAGAGTGCGTCTAGTAAATTGTCGTAATTACTAGGGAGAGATTTGCGGTAGTAAGAGTGCTCATGATCGATAGAGACGATTATGCAAATCTATATGAAACATAACAGGAAGGGATTCCATCAATAGGGGAAATCACAACCTTAGATCCTTCTCTAATTTGCTTACAACTCAATCATAGTTAGTTGTTAGTTTACTTAACGTTCTTCAGTTATAGTTAGTTAAAACATCACCAATTGTTATTCAAAATATTTGGGAAGTTGACAACGAAGAATTTAGTGAGTCTAACAAAAGTAATTGGTAGGTTAATTCCCTGAGGATTCGACTATGGGCTAAATACTCAGATTATACTTGCAACGTCCGCTTGTCCTTTTTATAAGGCATAGTTGATCGTGATCATGGAGTAACATGTAAAACCCCTAACTTTTTTTAAAAGCTAATTTGGACTAATTTAATAGCTCAATGATTTATGAATAGTGTGTAACTAAGAAGTTTGAAAAATCAGTTGAGAGGCGTTAACAGATGTACGGGATGTTATGGAATTAGTAGGGATATTAGCAGTGGCGAAGCCAGAAATATATTCAAGGGTGTTCAAACTTAAAAGAAGTAGAAAAAAAAATTCCGACAAAGGGTGTTCAATATACGTTTTATATATCTAAAATCAATATATTACTTATATACACAGTGTAATTTTTCGTAATTTTTCAGCGAAGGGTGGTCAGTTGACCATCCTTTGCTAAAGGTGGCTTCGCCCATGGATATTAGGATGGCTTGAAAATGTTATTGACTCGGGCTCTACATTTTTTGTTTGGCAAATAAAAATATCTTGCTTACCGGTGAGAAATTCAAAAATAGCCAGATTTACAAGTGGTCATTCAAAAATAGCCACAGTTTCAAAAGTAATCGAAATTTAGCCACTTTTCATGTAAATATAAATCTGAACAAAAACAATGTTTAAAATTCGGAAAATACTCCAGCATAATATACTAGAGTTCCAGCATAAGTATACTGGAACTCCAGTATATTATAATGGAGTTTTAGCATAAGTATACTAGAACTCCAGCATATTATAATGATGTTCCGGCATAAGTATACTGGAACTCCAGCATAATATACTGGAGTTCAGTATAATATGCTGGAAGTTCACACAAGTGCTCCAATCTCCAGTATATTATGCTGGAACTTTCCGCGTGTTGGAGTTCCAGCATAATATGCTGGAAGTTCATACACAGGTGCACTGATCTCCAGTATATTATGCTGGACCGGTCCCTGTTGTAGCAAAATAGTAGCTATTTTTCAATGACTTTGCAAACGCTGGCTATTTTTAAATGACCAGTCCGAAAACTGGCTAGCCCATACTATTTTAACTGCTTACCAAGTAAACTATGTATAGGTTAAATTTTTAAACAAAATAAAAGAAACAGCCTAGAACGGGCGCATGCTCTAATTACAAGGGTAACCAAATCGACCCCTCTAACCTCCTAACTACGAGCATCACAGTATATCCAAAAACGAATAACCTAAGGACTAGAAATTGAAGCTCCTCTACGCTTCTTAGCTAATCTAGTATCATAGTTCCTCTAGAGGAGATGTCCTGTATTACCAGCCTTGTAATCTGCTCAGCCAAAATGGATTAGAAAAATAATTATCCATCCATATTATCCACTAAGAAATAAGTTGGATAATGACCTTTTTAAAAATAAGGTCAAATATGAATATGGTCCATATTATGCTGCTTAAAAATGAATAACTAATTATGAGTTAACTTTTACATTTGTAAAGATCAACTTAGTGATTCCTCAAGTTTGGGGGACTAGTATTCTCCAAAACATATCATATTCAAAGAGTCATGGATATCTATATTATCCGTCGGCTAACCCATTTTCTATCTGTATTAAATATGGATTGGGTCAGATATTTTATCCGTTTTTGCGTGTGCTCGTTTCGACCTGCCCATATCCGACCTGACCCGCCCGTGTTACCCCTAGTTAAAACATAGCTGTTGCAACTTGCAAGAAGAAATATCTTCCTTGTCCTTTGTATATATTCAGTGCATCTTTAATAATCTACAAGCAGTGTTCCAATATTTGCAGCAGTGATGTTTTACGCAATGTATGGTGCCTGGTTTGATCAGGAGTACACAAAATCATGATTTGTTAAATTTGGTGTGACACTATTATATTGGAGATGCCGTGAGTAAGGGTGCACTATTTTTTGCACCAAATATGGTGTGACACTATTCATCAACATCAAATTTGATTTATTATTATTTTATTTATCTTTTTATTTTTTGGACTTTTTAATATCATATATTGTGTATATAATTAATTTTTTATATTAAGATCTTTATTAATTAATTTTATGTCCATTTTTTTTTATATATCATTTTGGTAATATATTATATTTATATAAAATTATAAGTTAATTTTATTATTATTATAATTGTTAAAAAGAAATATAATCATTATTTAAAAATGAAAAATGCAAATGTAAGATATCTAATGTTGCTAAAATTAAAAAGTGAAAACTAAAATTTAAAAAAGAAAATTAACAATACATAAAATAAAAATACATTAAAATTAAAAGTACATCAAAGGAGGATACATTAAAATTAAAATTATATTAAAAAACATAAAACATAAGTTTAGTAATCCGGTATGTCATTTCCAGGTGCACCAAAATTACTAAAAAACTGAGAGAACGGGGTAGAAGATTGTTGTGCTTGTGGTTGTTGAAATTGTTAACTTCTTTTATCGATTATTCATTTTTGTTCTTGTCACAAAAATTCACGAAGATTTGGATCGTCAATGGAATTCAACCTCGTTAATAAAATTTTATTTTCTTCTTTGAATTCTTTTTGTCTCGAAGCTTCATTTCTTGAGTTACTTGACTTTTCCATCGCCTCAACAAGCAGATTATTTTCTGATTGGATCATTTTCACGTAATCTTCATCAATTTTTCTCTTCAATTTTGCTTTCTTTACCCCAATAGGTCATTGTAATGATGTGGCCTCACCTGCAACATCCTCATTTAAATTTAGTGAAATGATAATAAGTTAGGAGACGATACCAACGGTGAATCAGGAATAGGAGCCTCAAACTCCGATGATACATAAGTAGAGCCATGCTTTCTTGCTTTTGTTCTTCCAAAATCAACATCGCTAAACTTCTTAAAATCTTTCATCATATCCCACACATGATCAAATTTAAAGCCATTTTTAAAGTTCGGATCTTGCGTAAGTAAAGTTTTTGCTTGTGCAATCTGCAGTATTTAAGTAAAAGTAAGATAAACAATAAGCAAATATATATAAATATAGTATAATCAAGTAACTAAAAAAAATACTTACGATATCTTTTTCGGAAGCACCACTTGGATGTAAATTTTCGACTTGACGAACACATCCGTTTAATTTTCTAACAGCCTTCTCAATTGTTTGAAGTCGACATTGCACCGATCTTTGGTTGCGCTCCACCCAATTCTCTTCCTTTCCACGATTGTAAGCTGCGACGACTCGATTCCAAAAATTATCTTTAGATTGATAGATTCCCGTTACAGGATCTTGAGAAACATCTAAATAAACTTGACATAATAATTTATCTTCATTTGCAGTGTATCCTGCCGGTCGACCGGACATTTTTAAGTGATTAGAGGAAAAATGGATTATATGATAACAAAGGCTAGTTGTGGTTATGGATTAGTATATTCCCACTTCAATATATAGAGATAAAGTAGACAAGGATAGATTTTATCTTAATATCAACCGTCTGATGGATTTCATCCCAATATCCCAATAACAGATGCCACTGATGAATATGTCAAAATTGGAGAGTCAACTGCAATTGAAAGCATGAAGAGATTTTGTCGAGCTCTCATAGAGGTTTTGGCGATCAGTATTTGAGATCACCAACAGCTAACAATGTTGCAAGGCTTCTGTACATCGGTGAACAACGTGGTTTTCCAGGAATGCTTGGCAGTTTAGATTGCATGCATTGGAGATGGAAAAATTGTCCAACGGCATGGGCCGGACAATATGCAGGTCGTAGTGGATCCCCAACAATTATTCTTGAAGCTGTAGCTGATTACGACCTTTGGATATGGCATGCATATTTTGGTATACCCGGCACCAACAATGACATTAATATTTTTGAATCATCAGATTTATTCTCCAATCTCGCTAATGGTATTGTTCCTCCAGCCCGTTATGTTATTCAAGGAAAAGAATATGACATGGGTTATTATTTAGCTGGCGGTATATATCCAAAATGGTCTACTATTGTGCAAACTATTCGAGAGCCACGTTCAGCAAAGAAGAAATATTTTGCAATGAAACAAGAATCATGTCGAAAAGATGTTGAACGTGCATTCGGAGTTTTGCAATATTGTTTTGCAATTGTTGCAGGTTCGTCACGTTTTTGGAGAAAAGAGGTGCTACGTGATATAATGACCACATGTATTATACTGCACAACATGATAATTGAGGACGAGCATGATATTAATGCACCAATTCAAGATGCACGTGAATGTCTAGCTCCTACGGTAGAAATGGTAGTAAATGAAGATCACCGATTTGAATAATTTTTAGCTCGACACAAAAAAATTAAGGATAAAGATGCGCATTTCGCACTTCGTAATGCATTAATCGAGCATTTATGGGAGAATACTTCAGTAGTATCACTTGAAAAATTGCAGTGGATGCTAGATGAATTCTTTTTACTTAATGGGGTGATCAATCTTGCGGATTGGGTACCTTTACTGAGTTGGTTCGACTCACAAGGGTACGTAAAGAGAATGAAGGCATTGGGAAAGAGTGTTGTAGAATTTCACAACTCTGTGCTTGAAGATCACAAGGCTAAAGCAAAGGAGAATTCAGTTCCAAGGGACATGGTTGATGTCATATTGCAGCTAGCTGATGACCTAATCTTGAAGTTAAGCTTACTAAGGATCACTTGAGGGATTAATACATGTAAGCTTTCTTGTTATATAAAACATAGCATAATACATCAAAGTCCAAAAAGATCGTCCGCATTCCTTCTTAGAGAAAGGGTTGTAGCCGCAATTTAACTATATTAAAGGATTGTTTAGAGTAATTGTTTACCTCGAAAATACGAGTAACAATTAAATTTGATTTGTGGTTTTAAAGATATATGATTTAGTTCAATACCAATAAATAATCAAGAAATATGAACTAGAAATGAAAGAAATAAGTGAATCAAACCAATGTTACTCAGCAGTGGTGACCTCAAGCTTAATGACCTCGAGATGAAGTGATGAACTAAGAGCAATAAAGTAAGAACAGTAAATGTAAAGGGCAATTTCGATGAACAGTACGAGAGAAAAGTAGGATAGTATATTCTTTGCCAATGATTAGATGGTGTTACAAATGATTGGGGTCCCCTTTATATAATAGGGGAACCCTAAATAAGGTACATTTCTATTTACAGTAAGGAATATTATTGGCACAACTGTCTAACCGCCTAGTACGGAATCATACAATCCTATTTTGGGATTTGCGCCATGATCTTGGGGACGTGGCAAGAATCTAACTCATTCTATTACAAATCCATAATGGTACAATTTCGGGGTTGAGCATACTTAACTTCGATATTCCTCGCACTCCTATCTTCGGGCATTGCATTCCGTCTTCGAGCTCGAGTCTAGTCTGTCGACCTTGAACTCGAGCTTACTTGAACTCGGACCTAAGGCGATCCCTCGAGCCTGGGAAATCGGGCGTACCTAATTTCGACCGTATACAGATAGTCCCCGCGTTTCTTAGAGCAAGGTGATAAGAAACGACTTGAACCTCGATTCTCCGGAGTCTCTAACGATGATGTCATTCCCATGACGTGGGCGCTCAAAATGACTGAAACATCCCGTCGGTTCACTTCCCCTAAACATTAAATGCATGCCAGTAATGGTCGGCCACTAGCACCGCCGAACCGTCGTTGCTCATCTATAAATGTGAGGCTACTTGTTTGAATTGAAAACTTTACTCCTTCATTCACAATTACTCTGATCATCTCTCTTCTTCACCTTTTTCTCTCACCATCTGTTTCCACCACCCCTTTAAACGCCGGAAAATGCCAAGTTCTCGTAAAACACCATGTTCTGCTACCGTCTGTATTCTTTAGCTTAGAATCATGGCTAAAACTTCCAAAACAGTTCCCAAAAAAAGATAAAGCGTTGTCTTCTTCTTCCTCTCGGCCGGACAAACCGATGGTGCCGCCGACTTTTGAAGAAATCACCCTCGGCCCTTGCGTGATTAAAAAGGACTTCAATATTGAAAATCCCCCTAATATCCCAGGCCGATGCGAACATGTATCTCGGTATATTTGTTCAATATCGAAGAAGCTCCTCAAAGCCATGAAGAGGGACTGCGGCTGGGGAGACGAGGTCATGATTCAGATCCCGAGCCCCGAGGAAAGCATCACCACCCACATGGAGGGATTCTTGAGTGTTTACACTTACCCCTTCACACTGGGTCCCCTCGATCCGGTAGTGATCGACTTCTGCAAAACATATGATGTCACCCTCGGCCAGATCCATCCCTCCTTTTGGCGCATCATGATCATGCTGCGCTATTTTTTCGCTAAGGCCGAGGGGTTGGAATTTACCCTCAACCATCTTATTCGACTGTATCGGCCTCAGCTGTTTCGAGGGCTCATCGAGCTGCAACGTCGAACAAAGAAGGCCTTCTTCGCTAGTAACGATGAAGACAAAGATCGAGGCTGGATGAGCCGGTTCATCAGAGTAAGGACTTCGGATGTCATCCCAGGGATAAAATATCGTTCCACGAGAAATGGAACTTTAATCGTAAGTGGAGTTCTTCTTCCCAATATCTATTCATATTCAGCTTCCGCATCTCATAATGCCTTTACCCTTTCTGCAGCCACTACTTGGGCGCCCCACGCGGTCCCCGACCTCGAAGACTGGGTCAGAAAGTTAGCTGCCACCTCCTCGTACGATGAGCACAAATGGCGTGAATTATCGAGGGGCAAATGGGGGGCCCGACATCATGGTAAATTTTCTTCCCGAGTTTCAGATATTTTTCATTTATTGGTGGCGTCAACTCATTCATGTTTATTTGTGCAGGCATCGGAGATGTATCCGAAGCCCCGCCCAGGGAAAAGACTGCGTCCTCGATCCCGAAATCGGGGAAGGACAGTAAAAGAAAGAGGGCTTCAAAGCCTGAAGATTCACAGGACGAGGGGACTCCTACTCGAAAGTCGAGGAGGAAACTTGTACATGCGGATTTGGATTCCGCCACTCAATATCTAGAAGATGAAGAGAACGAGGGTGAAGAAACAGCGTTGGTACCCCGAACTAGGAAACCAGTCGAGGCCGTCAATCCCTCCGAATGTGAGACTTCTTCTTATGGTGGAGGAGCTCTGGAAAAAGACTTTGGCAAAGCCCTCGAGTACCCGGAGATTGAGATCATTCCCCTTCCTTCAATAAGTACGCCTGAGGGGATAAATGCTGAGAAGGCCGCAGCTAATCAGAGCGCCCCGAGTGAGGAGCTCGGGGCCATGACAATGGGTCACTCACCATCTCTACCACCCTACTCCGATGAGACCATAAAGGATGCTCGGGCTCTACGAACACACGACCCGAGCAAAGTCTTCGAAGAAGACCCTTTCCGGGACTGTTTCACCGGGGTCGACGATGCTGTTGATCTTAACGATGCATCCACCCTCTTCGAAGAGGCTCAACGTCTCCTCTCTCGGGTAAATACTAACTTTCATTGTTGTAACTTTTTCTTTTCTTCTTTTCCTTTGACTGACGTATCTTCATTTCATGTATAGGCCATCGTCAGGTTTAGAGTTGAGTTGAGCCAATGTGAGGCCGAGCTCAGGAAGGTTTCGGGCGAAGAGAAGGCCCTGAGGCTCCTCTGTGGCCAAAAGGAGGAGGAGCTTAAGGTCCTTCGGACTGAATTGGCCAAAGCTCGGAAAAACGAGACCGAGCTAGATGAGTAGGTAACTGTGATTTTAATAGAGTATGGTCTCTTTGGCCTTACTTAACACTTCGATGTCTCAGCTGCAGTAGAAGTTGGAGATGATTGGACAGCTCCAGAGCAAGGTTGGCCAAGTTAAGACTGACTGCCGTCGATGGAAAGAGAATATGGATCAGCTCGCTGCCGATAGGGAAGCTGTTACAGCCCAACTAGCCTCGGCTGAAACTCAACTGCGAGGCATTAAAGTGAAGGTTCTGGCCCAAGCCAAGAAAATTGAGGAGTTAGAGGCAGAGCTTGCTAGAGCCCGGGCCGAAGCTGTATAGGCCAAAGCCGAAATTGAGAAGACGAAGGCTACGACAGACAAGACTATCGCCGTATATTTGAAGGATGGCGAGGCAGTTCAAGCTGAGTTGAGGGAGACCTCCGACCGGGAAAAACAGAGTAATGATTTGGCCAAGTTCCAAGCCCGGAGGGAGACTCTCGAAGAGATCCATGCCCGAGGATTTGAACTCACTAAAGAAATAGCCCAAGCAAAGGCGATGGAAACCGATGCCCGATTCTGGTTTCTTCTGATGATGAAGACGTTGCGAGTGGTTCCGAGGGCGGGGAAGGTGAAGAAGGAGCCCTCGAGGAGGTGGAGGTTCCCGAAGATAAAGCTCCCGAGGATGCTGTTCCTGAGGTTGTTGCTTCGGGGGATGTAGCCCCGAAATATATTAGGTTCTTTATCGTTTCTTTGTTTTTGTGTAAGGGACCCTCGTGGGCGTTGTAAATATACTTTGTAAATCATCTCTTGTAAATATAAAAAACCTTTTTGCTTTATCTCCAATTTGTGTTGAATTCCGTTTCGTCTTCACCTGTGAAATTTTTTATTGTATAACTCTAATGACCAGTCCGAATACTGGACTCAGCACATAATAAACCCTTAGGTTTTTTATTGATCAACATAATACCTCTTAAGGTTTTAGATAATCCTTGAGCTAAGATTAAATCAATTTGATGCGAGCTCGGAATAATGGGACTCTTGGGTCCGAGTTGAGTGAGAATGAGGTCTCGAACTCTATATGTTTTGGCCTTTAAGCTCTTTTAAGTTGGCCCTTAGGCTCTTATATATCGACCCTTAGGCTCTTTAAGTTGGCCCTTGGGCTCTTATATATCGGCCCTTAGGCTCTTTAAGTTGGGCCGATTCGGCCTCTAACGTGGCTATAATTTTTTCCTCTTTTCGGCTAAAAGACTTAGTGAAAATTTTTGTATACCTTAGCATGTGTTTTTTTTGTACCCGTTGGGTTTTCGAAGGTTCGTTCGGTTGGAACCTCATTTATAACTTGTTTATGTAATGATAATCGAATACCTCTTGAGGTATTTCTGGAGGCTGATATTATCGAAGCCTTTAAATTATTCGAGGGCTGACTTTATCGAGGCCCCTTTATTATTTGCTTTTGCCGATCGTAGCCTGAATTAACAAATTTTTTCAAAGTGTTTGAAGGTCTTCAATTTATGGCGGAAGTCGGACGTCTCCGAGCCGCATTATTTCGGCCGTAGCCTTTTTATATGACCGTAGTCTTTAATATGGCCGTAGCCTTTGATATGACCGTAGCCTTTGGGTATCTCTCTTGGACTTGTTTCCCGATAACCTTTCGAACTTGTCCGAAAGGTTAGTCCCCGAGCATGTTGGCCTTGGACTTTATATCGAGGGGATGCCTCTTTGAGGTCTTATGAGTCCGAGTTTTCGATGACTCGAATATACTGACTGTCGATGACAGTCCCCGAGTATCTCGGGGGTGCATTCGTGCTCTGGCTCTTGAGTCGTTTCCGGTAGGATTATAAGTGTAGAGCTCGTATAATAGTAGACTTCTTTGAGACACAAAGTGTTTTTGATATAAACAGAATGCTTCTTCAAATAATTGATACATGCGTACATGTTTTACCGTCGGGGCTCGACTATTCTATATGGACACGGTTTATCTGACCGTTTGGCCCATTACAAAGTTCTCCTATCGAGGTCCTCTTAGGCGTGAAATATATTCCTCGAAAACGTAACATCTGAAGGTGATGCCCCCTAGTATGAGGTTGATTGAAAAGAAACCTTGGATACTGTTGATTTCTCCTTAGGTAGCATATAGTTATTTCCTCGTTATAAACCTCGCCGGTAAAATCCATTTGGGATAAAATCCAATCTAAGGGAAAAAGAATGCAACGCATGCTTTAAAACCTAAGGCCTTTGTGTAAAAATGGTGCCTTCGATAGCTTCGATCGGAAATCTGCAATGAGTTAGTTTCAAACTCAAATGGACAAAAGGATAAAGTCATACCTTAGTAGTAGTATCGTTTGAGTAAAGATATGTTCCAATTGTTTGGCAGTTGTTCACCTTCCATTGTGCTAAGTTTGTAAGATCCGTTACCGACAACTCTAAGGACTCACTACGGTCCTTCCCAATTCGGGCCTATATTCCCTTCATTCGGGTCTCGAGTATTGAGGGTGACTTTTCGTAGAACTAAGTCCCCGATTCCGAAGTGCTGAAGGTTGGTCCTTCTATTGTAGTATCTTTCGATCCTTTGCTTTTGCGCGGCCATCCGAACAAGCGATGCTTCTCATTTTTCATCTAATAGCTCGAGGCTAGTATTCATAGCCTCATGATTTGACTCCTCCGATGTATGTCGAAACCTGGCACTGGGTTCCTCGACCTCGACAGGAATAAGGGCCTCGGAGCCATATACTAAAGAGAACGGAGTAGCCCCCGTGCTAGACTTCGATGTTGTTCGATATGACCAAAGAACCTCGGGTAGAACTTCTCTCCATTTCCCCTTTGCATCGTCCAACCTTTTCTTCAGGTTTCGAATGATAGTTTTGTTTGTTGACTCAGCCTGTCCATTTCCAGTTGGGTGGTATGGTGTCGATAAAATCCTTTTTATTTTATATGCTTCGAGGAACTCCGTCACCTTGTTGCCGATGAATTATTTTCCATTGTCACATACAATCTCAGCAGGTATCCCAAACAGCCATATGATGTGGTCCCAGATGAAGTCAATAACTTCTTTTTCTCTGACCTTCTCGAAGGCCTTTGCTTCCACCCATTTAGAAAAATAATCAGTCATAAACAAAATAAATTTAGCTTTACCTGGGGCCATTGGTAGAGGGCCGACTATGTCCATTTCCCATTTCATGAAAGGCCACGGGGATAGGACCGAATGGAGTCGTTCTCCGGGCTGGTGGATCATCGGTGCAAATCGTTGGGACTTATCACATTTCTTGACAAATTCCATAGTATCTTTTTCCATGTTATCCCAGTAATATCCTGCTCTAATAATTTTGCGAACCAAAGACTCGGCGCCGGAGTAGTTTCCACAACTGCCTTCGTGAATTTCTCGTAGAACATAATCGGTGTCCCCCGGCCCCAAACATACCGCCAATGGCCCATCGAACGTTCTTCAGTACAATGTTCCATCTTCATCTAATGCAAACCTAGCAGCCTTGGTTCGTAGGGCCCTCGATTCTTTATGGTCCGACTAGAGTTTTCCACTTTTCAAATAATCGATATCCTTATTCCTCCAGTCCCAAGTCAGACTGGTTGAATTTATCTCGGCATGACCCTCTTCAACCACAGACCTCGATAATTAGACGACAGTTCTCGGGACGATATCATCTTCTTCAACCAAGAATCCCAAATTAGCAAGTGCATCGGCCTCACTATTTTGCTCTTGAGGCACATGATCCAGAGTCCATTCTTTGAAGCGATGTAATGTTACCTGTAGTTTATCTAAGTATCATTGTATCCTATCTTCTCAAACTTCAAAACTTTTGTTTACTTGGTTTACCACCAACAGTGAATCGCACTTGGCTTCAATGACTTCTGCTCCCAAGCTCTTGGCTAGCTCGAGACCTGCAATCATGGCCTCATACTCGGCCTCATTATTAGTCAACCTAAAAGTTTTGATAGATTGTCTAATGGTACTACCCGTAGGTGGCTTTAAGACAATGCCAAGCCCGGACCCTTTCACATTCGAGGCACTATCCGTGAAAAGGGTCCATACCCCCGATGATGTACCCGAACTTAGCAGGAGTTCTTTCTCCACTTCGGGTATGACGGTCGGAGTAAAATCGGCCACGAAGTCAGCTAGGATTTGAGACTTGATGGCCATTCGGGGTTGATATTCGATATCGTATCCGCTAAGTTCGACGGCCCATTTGGCCAGCCGGCCCGATAGCTCCAGCTTATGCAAAACATTTTGAAGGGGGTAAGTGGTTAAGACACATATGGGATGTCATTGAAAATATGGGTTTAGCTTTCTAGATGCGTTTATCAATGCAAGTGTTAATTTTTCTAAGTGAGGGTATCTGGTTTCAGCATCTTCTAGAGTTCGGCTTACATAATAAACAGAAAATTGCGTACCTTGCTCTTCTCGAACTAGTACCCCACTTACCGCTATCTCGGATACTACCAAATACAGGTAAAGTTTTTAATCTACCTTTGGGGTGTGAAGCAAAGGCGGGCTTGATAAGTATCGCTTTAGTTCTTCTAAGGCTTGTTGGCATTCCGGGGTCCATGCGAAATCCTTTTTCTTTTAGATCAAGGAAAAGAACCAGTGACTTTGATCTGATGACCTCGAAATGAATCGACCCAAAGCAGTTATTCGACATGTTAGCCTTTGCACGGCCTTCACGCTATCCACGATCGTGATATCCTCGATGGCGTTGATCTTATCGGGGTTAATTTTGATGCCCCGATTCGACACCATGAAGCCGAGGAACTTACCCGAGCCGACTCCGAAGGCACATTTCTCCGGGTTAAGCTTCATATTGTATTTCCTCAAAATTTTGAATGTTTCCTGCAAATGAGCTAAATGGTCCTCTGCGCGCAGGGACATAACCAACATATCATCAATTTAAACTTTCATTGTTTTACCTATTTGTTCTTCGAACATTTTGTTAACTAGGCGTTAGTATGTAGCTCCTGCATTTTTTAGCCCGAAGGGCATTACGTTGTAATAATAGGTTCCAAATTTAGTAATAAATGAAATCTTTTCCTAGTCCTCCGGGTTCATCTGAATCTGATTGTACCTAGAGTAGGCATCGAGAAAAGTTAGGATCCCGTGGCCGGCCGTGGAGTCGATCATACGATCGATGTTCGGTAGTGGGAAAGAATCTTTCGGGCATGCTTTGTTCAAATCCTTATAATCTACGCACATTCTAAGTTTATTTCCCTTTTTAGGAACTACAACTATGTTGGCTAACCATTCGGGATATTTTACCTCCCGAATGGACCCTATTTTAAGAAGTTTGGTTACCTCGTCCTTTATGAATGCGTGCTTCACCTCGAACTAAGGTCTACTTTTTTGCTTTACCGGTTTGAACCTGGGGTCGAGGCTAAGCCGGTGCGTAGTTATTTCTGGTGGGATCCCTGTCATATCTAAATGGGACCAAGGAAATCAATCCATGTTATCAATAAGAAATTGAATGAGTTTTTTCCTGAGTTCGGAAGTTAATCCCGTTCCCAGGTATACCTTTCTCTCGGGTATGTATTCGATCAGTATGACCTGCTCCAGTTCCTCGATCGTTGACTTAGTTGCATCGGACTCTTTGGGAACGACGAAAGTTCGAGGAGTAAGGAAATCCTCATCTTCGTCTTCGATTACCTGTTGCTCCGATTCTGTCAAGGCTGGAGGCGGTGATTGCTATTTGGCCGCTTTCTTATCTTTGGTGTTCGACTTTTCCGAGGTCGAAGGCTCTAGTATCGGCGTCACTTCATCGACTGCAAACATCTCCTTTGCAGAGTGTTGCTCCTCGTAGACCGTTTTTACTCCCTCCTCTATTGGGAACTTCATCATCTGATGAAGAGTTGAAGGTACTGCCCTCATGTTGTGTATCCATGGTCTTCCAAGGAGTGCATTGTACCTCATGTCGCCTTCGATGACATGGAATTTTGTATCTTGTATGGTCTTGGCTACATTTACTGGCAGGATAATTTCTTCCTTTGTTGTTTCACTTGCCATGTTGAAGCCATTTGGATCCGAGACGCAGGTACAATCAGATCATGTAGGTCAAGTTGCTCTACGACCCTTGATCTGATTATATTTGCTGAGCTACCTGGATCCACTAGAACATGTTTAACTTGAATTTTATTTAAAAGGATAGAAATTACCAGGGCGTCTTTGTGTGGCTGAGATATGCCCTCTGCTTCCTCGTCGTAGAATGATAAGGCATCCTCAGGCACATAGCTCCGAGTCCGTTTTTCTCTTGTGATCGACACCTTGGTGCGTTTGAACACAAGTCCTTGTGGGATATCGACACCACCAACGATCATGTGGATTACATGTTGTGGTTCTTCTTGTTCATTTTTCCTTGCATCTCTTTCCCTAAAGTGATTCTTAGCTCAATTACTTAGAAATTCTCGAAGGTGACCCTCGTTGAACAACCGAGATACCTCATCTCTTAGTTGCCTGCAATCTTCGGTTTTATGACCATGTGTGCCATGATACTTGCACATCAAGTTTGGGTTCCTTTGGGAAGGATCGGTTTGTATGGGCCTAGGCCACCTGGTGTCTTTGATTCTTCCAATAGTTGACACGATCCCTGATGCATCTACGCTGAAATTATACTCTGACAATCAAGGTGCCTCTACGGGGTCGGTATGCTTATCAAACCCGCTCTTACTCATGAGTCCTCGAGAACTTTGGCCTCGATCGCTCTCCGATCATTTCGAGGGGCGTCATGACCCGAGCCGTTGTTTCTCCGATCGACGTATGGCTGATACCATTCCTTGTTCGATCTTGATTCCCTGTCTGCATCCCTCGGGGGCTTGGCTGCGAATCTGTTAGGATGAACTGAACCCGAGGGGGCTCCCAACTGGTCGTCCTCGACCCTGATTTTTGATTGGTAACGGTTGTGCACATCTGACCATGTCACAGCTGGATATTCGATCAAGTTTTGCTTTAACTGCTAAGATGCAATCGAACTCCGTTCGTTCAAACCCTGCATAAAGGCCTGTACTGCCCAGTCATCGAGACCGGCGGTAATTCCATTCTTTCCATCTGAAACCTGGACACAAACTCCCTTAACATCTCGTCGTTCCTTTGTTTTTTCTTGAAGACGTTCGATTTCCTCGTAGCCACCTTTATGGCCCCGGCGCGTGCTTTCACGAAGGCGTCTGCTAACATAGCAAACGAATCAATAGAGTTAGGAGGCAAGTTATGGTACCAAATCATGGCTCCTTTCGACAATGTTTCCCCAAACTTTTTCAATAATACTGATTCTATCTCATCTTCATTCAAGTCGTTTCCTTTGATCCCGCAAGTGTATGTAGTAATATGCTCGTTAGGGTCGGTTGTCCCGTTATATTTGGGTATATCGGGCATGCGAAACTTCTTGGGAATGGGCACCGGAGCCGCGAACTGAGGGAAATGATTTTTTTATGAACTTTTTGCATCTAAACCTTTCAAAACTAGAGGTGCCCCCGGTATTTGGTCAACGCGGGAGTTATAAGTCTCCACATTTTTATCATTGTCCTCAATTTTCTTTTCCCTGGACTCGATCCTCTTGGTGAGCTCTTCGAGCATCCTCATAATGTGGGGTCAGTCCCCGAGTCATTTCCGTTCGACCTCTCTGGTGTTGGCTCAACATGTCGAGTGTTTTCATGTTCAGCTACATTCGGAGTCTTATTTTGACTTTGAAGTTGAGTGATGGCGATCTGTTGAGCTTGCAGCATCTCGAATATCACTTGAAGGCTGATTCTCCCATCTCCCATTCCTTGTGTTCCCTGGCTACCAGATCGGGCTTCCCTGCGTACACTCTCTCCGAGGGTCTGTGCCTAAATCCGCGTTTAGAACAATTTGTGAACTAACATCAACTGGTTCCACATTTGGCATTTTCCCTAGGTTTATCGGTGGTACACCGATCCCTGCATTGCTGTTTTCTCCAAGACCTATGCTGTCATGAACATGTGCGTTTTGTGAGCTACACATGTTTCAGCCTGAGAATCAAAAAATCTTGACAAGAAAAAGTGTTAAAACAACGTGTGTAATGAGAATCAGTAATGAAATAATCACTATTATCTTTAGCCCCACTGTGGGCGCCAAACTATTTACCTCGAAAATACGAGTAACAATTAAATTTGATTTGTGGTTTTAAAGATGTGTGATTTAGTTCAATACCAATTAATAATCAAGAAATATGAAGTAGAAATGAAAGAAATAAGTGAATCAAACAAATGTTACTCAGCAGTGGTGACCTCGAGCTTAATGACCTTGAGATGAACTAAGAGCAATAAAGTAAGAACAGTAAATGTAAAGGGCAATTCTGATGAACAGTAAGAGAGAAAAGTAGGATAGTATATTCTTTGCCAATGATTAGATGGTGTTACAAATGATTGGGGTCCCATTTATATAATAGGGGAACCCTAAATAAGGTACATTTCTATTTACAGTAAGGAATATTATTGACACAACTGTCTAACCGCCTAGTACGAAATCGTACAATCCTATTCCGGGATTTGCGCCATGATCTTGGGGACGAGGCAGGAATCTAGCTAATTCTGTTACAAATCCATAACGGTACAATTTCGTGGTCGAGTATACTTAATTACGATATTCCTCGCACTCCTATCTTCGGGTATTGCATTCCGTCTTCGAGCTCGAGTCTAGTCTGTCGACCTTGAACTCGAGCTTACTTGAACACAGACCTAAGGCAATCCCTCGAGCCTGGGAAACCAGGTGTACCTAATTTCGACCGTATACAGTAATTTATTTCTACTTTTTAGAAACCTAAAACTGTATATCATTTGAAAAGTGTCAATCCCAGTTTTATTTTCTCAATTATAGCGCACAGAACACTCTATTATAGCTCATAAAAGCTTCAACAAGTTCATTTTAATAGTTGCTTTTTTTTCCTTTTTGGCTATCTATTCTAGGATTTGCTGACAGGTGGAACAGATACTTCAGCTGTAGCAGTAGAATGGGCATTTCAAGAACTTTTGAGGAATCCAAAGGTTATAGAGAAGGCAAATCAGGAACTTGACAGAGTTAATAGGAAAGAACGATGGATAGAAGAAGAGGACTTTTGTCGCCTACCTTATATAGATGCCATAATCAAAGAGACATTTAGACTGCACCCACTATGCGCATTGCTTCCTCCCCATTACTCTATTGAGGACTGCGAAGTTGCTGGTTATGACATACCAAATGGAACAACAGTATTTGTAAATGCATGGTCTTTAGGAAGAAATCCTAAGTATTGGGATAGAGCAGAAGAGTTCATTCCAGAAAGGTTGTTAGAAAATGACATTGACATAAAGGGACAAAACTTCACACTGCTGCCATTTGGTTCAGGAAGGAGGAGGTGCCCCGGATATAGCCTTGGGATTAAGGTCGTTCGGACAACGATAGCTAACTTGTTGCACGGATTCAATTGGAAATTAACTGGAGGTATGAAAGCAGAAGATATAAGCATGGAGGAAATTTATGGATTGACTACCCACCCAAAGAAGCCGACATCTATCATCATGGAACCAAGACTTAGCATCCATCTTTATTAGTACTTTATTGAGTTTATTAATCTTTATCAGCATGAGTGGTATACTAGCATTTAGAACTCTACTATTTGAAGAGATGCAATACCAATTGAAATTTCTTTGCTTTCACTTGCGTTTAGCTCTGAGATATCTTTTACATATATAAGCTGCAATTAATGGATCTGCTTTAGGAAAGACTGAGCTAATCAAGTAGGCATTTTAAAAGTATACTGACCAAGAGGAAGGTAAGAATAACTCTAAATATATGGCCCCTACCTGAGCCCTGAATTTCCTAGATATTGTGTGACTGATATTTTCTCGGTAGTGTTAGGCCAAGCTGTGCCCTGCTTGGTCCCCTCCCCAGGACAGTGGGGTTAAAGTCATGAGGCTATTATTATCTAATTTCCAATGGCGAGAACAATAACGTCAAGATTTTCACAAGAAAATCTCTTCCTTTTCTGGCTTGTTTGTTCCTCTGTCACTTCATCCATCACATCTAGCACTGAACAGACTACCTTGTATTTATCTACACTTCTGTGTAACTCCACCGAAACCAAAAGCATAGCTCCAATCTTCATCTTGCAACACTGATTTTTACTCAATGCACATTGTTTTTAGTTATAAGTGTACATGAATCTCCAGGATGCCCATCTATGAATGAACTACGATTATTATCTTAATAGACTAAAAGGAAAAAACAAAAAGAAAGAAAAAAAAAAGGACAAATTCCCTATTTTACCTAACAGTTATAGGAGTACTTGATTAATTAGCCAATGGTTTTACAAAAAGAATTTAATTGCACTGGATGGTTCTAAAGGTAAGTTCCAAAGTAATAAAGGCAAAGGTCCACCTAGTCTCAAGTTATAATGAGTCCAAGTTAAATTCATAAAGAACTGCAAGCAACAGCTGATAGAGGAAAAAGTTCCATAAAGAAGAAAACTAGCAAGCTTTACATAACACGTAGAAGGATGGCATTTCAATTTTTCAGAAATACTTAGACCACAACATCTAAATAACCTTTGGTAGAGTCCATCACATAAATGATGACATTAAGATACCTAAATTAAGGTCTCTTTCAGATATAGGGGCTTCGAAGGGCTACAAGGTCAGAATAGTTCAATTTAGTATGAGCTCCAACTATATCCTAGTGATATAGTAAGTTCGAGGGCTCGTAAGATTTATAGCCGGTCTGTCCAAGCTTCTCCAAGGCTAAAAGCACTTTTATTTTTCAAAAAAAAAGTACTTTTTGTCAAAATTGAGGTGTTTGGCCAAGCTTTTAGAAAAAAAAATTGAGTAAAAGTAGAAGCAGTTTTTGAGAAGCAGAAAAAAGGAGCTTCTCCCCGAAAGTAATGTTTTTAAAAATCTTTTGAGAAAAATACACTAATAAGCACTTTTTTAAAACCTTGGCCAAACACTAATGGCTACTGAAAAGTGCCTTCAAATTAATTAGTCAAACACAAACTGTTTCTCACCAAAAGTACTTTCTTTGACAAACACCTTTGAAAAAAGTATTTCTCAAAATAAGTTGATTCTAGAAGCTTGGTCAAACAAGCTATTATTAGGTGACGTTAGAGCCGTTTTTGAAATATATTTGACAATTCAAACAGATATTTTGTGTTTAGATAGTAATCTTTATAAACATAAATGATTGGTTTTGAGTTATAGCTATAACTTCAATTAACAATGTTCACAATTTTCTTTTTCTGATGGTCAAGGGCCATGTATTAGCTCCTGACAGCAATAGCGCTGAAATGGGGAAACAAGATGATATTTCTTAAATTCTGACGTACAAAAAGATCCATAGAACCTTTCCAATATTAATTACTCCATCCGTTTCAATTTAGATGAGGTAGTTTGACTCGGCACAGAGTTTAAGGAAAAAAAGAAGACTTTTGAAACTTGTTCTCTTAAAAGCTTAAGGGGTAAAAGCTTCTCATTAAGGGTAAAACGGGTAAAATGAAGAGTTTAAAGTTGAATTATTTCCAATTGTAGAAATGTGTCATTCCTTTTGGAACGGACTAATAAGGAAAGTGTGTCATCCAAATTGATACAGAGGGAGTACTTCTCAAGGTTGCTAAGAATTCCAAACAGTTACTACCCAAAAAGAAAAAAAAGAATTCCAAACAGTTGGAACTGTATTTTGACATTGTTGTCCGACTCTATTTACATATATTCCTTTTTCAGGCTTTAAAAACTAGCAGATAGCATTATAAATCTAAAAGCTTCCCCTGGCACTTCCTATATATTCAACTGCAGTAATCCATTGTACAATCATGGAGATTTCTTCGGTATTCATAGCCTTGGCATGGCTGCTAGCATTAGCTATTATTTCAAAAGTTATCAACCATCTATGCCCCAAAAGAAAGCTACCACCAGGACCGAAGCCATGGCCAATTATTGGCAATTTGAACCTTATTGGTTCACTCCCACATGAGTCTTTGCACCATCTCTCACAAAAATATGGAGATCTAATGCACCTAAAGTTCGGTTCCAGGCCTGTTCTGGTAGCATCATCCCCAGAAATGGCTAAAGAGATTTTGAAAACACATGATGCCATCTTTGCTTCTCGCCCTGCGTTAGCTGCTGGTAAGTACCTTAGCTTTAACAACTCAGACATGTCATGGGGACCTTATGGTGCACACTGGCGCCAAGGTCGAAAGATTTACATAACCGAGATATTTAATCCCAAAAGGCTTGATTCGTTCAAGTACATTCGTATTGAGGAAAGTAGAAATTTGATTTCTCGTCTTTTTGCACTATCAGGAAAGCCAATTTTTCTTAAAGACCATTTACCTCAGTTTACACTTTGTACCATAAGTAGGATGGTTATGAGTGGCAAGTACTATTGTGATAAGTCAGAATCTAATGATACAATAGTGACACTTGAAAAATTGCAATGGATGCTAGAAGAATGGTTCATCCTCGGTGGGGTGGTTAATATTGGGGATTGGATACCTTGGCTTAATTGGCTTGACTTGCAAGGGTACGTAAAGCGAATGAAGGCTTTGGAGAAAACCCTGGTAGAATTTCACAATTATGTACTTGAAGATCACAAGGCTAAAGCAAAGGAGAACTCTATTCCAACGGACATGGTCGATGTCTTGTTGCAACTAGCTGATGACCCTAATTCGGAAGTTAAGCTCACGACCAATCACCTAATGGGGTTAATCCTCGTAAGTATATCCTTTCTCTTATTTTCTTTTGGACTAATTGTTAGTATGGTGCGACAACTAGAGTCCAAAAAGATTAATCATCTTTTTAAGGCTTTTACCCGCACTGGCATATATTACAGGAGTACTACTTTGATAATTAAATATTTTTTTTCTTAAACCTAAAAGCTTAATATAGAGTTGATCCCAGTTTTATTTTCTCAATTTTAACATCTAAAATTTTCTGTTATAGCTTATAAAACCTTCAATATATTTATTAATACTTGCATTTTTATTGTGTTATAAATATAAATACCAGGATTTGTTGGCCGGTGGAACAGATACTTCAGCAACAACAGTAGAATGGGCATTTCAAGAATTAATGAGGAACCCAAAGATCATTGAGAAGGCAAACCAAGAACTTGACAAAACCATTGGGAAAGAAAGATGGGTAGAAGAAGAGGACCTTTCCCAACTACCTTATATAGAAGCCATAATCAAAGAGACATTTAGACTGCACCCTTTAACTACATTACTTACTCCGCATTACTCCATTGAGGACTGCAATGTTGCTGGTTATGATATACCAAAAGGCACAATGGTTTTTGTAAACTTGTGGTCTTTAGGAAGAAATCCTAAGTATTGGGATAGGCCAGAAGAGTTCATTCCAGAAAGGTTCTTAGAAAATGACATTGACATCAGGGGACAAAACTTCATACTACTTCCATTTGGTTCTGGAAGAAGAAAGTGCCCTGGATATAGTCTCGGGATTAAACTTGTTCAAACAACACTGGCTAACTTGTTGCACGGATTCAACTGGAAATTATCTGGAGATATGAAGCCAGAAGATATAAGCATGGAGGAAATCTATGGATTGACTACACATCTAAAGAAGCCAATATCTATGATCATGCAACCAAGACTGCCCCGCCATCTTTATTAGTACTTTCTTGAATACTTATCAATCTTGATCGATGTAACTTGTACTAGCGTTCAAAATTCTACTACTTCATGGAATAATTCATAAAATTGCTTCGTTTTTCCTTCTTATTCCATCCTGTAAAAGCTACTGCATATATAAGCTAGAGGTAATGAATCTGCTTTTGAAAAGACTCAGTTTTACAAGTGTACTGGCCAAGAGGAAGGAAATGTTACAAGAATAACCTAAAAATATATGGCCCATTCATATGGACCCTGAATATTCTCAGTGTTGTGTGTCTACTATTTACTCGATTGTAGGCCCTATATTGCACGGACTCTCCAAAAATACAGCCACACCCGTGTCGGATCCTCCAAGAATGCACTACTTTTGGAGGATCCGACACGCACTCACTGGCATTTTTGGAGAGTCCGAGCAACCGAAATTTTGTACCATATCTTACTTTTGGGTGTTACTATTTGTTAGATGCTGTAAGACTTTTCCAATCAATGATGGATGAGACTATTAACACTGAAACTTTCATAAGAAAATATCTTCCTTCCCTGGCTTGTCTCTCCTCTTTCATCACTTACGTTATATAAGAAATTAAGTCTATGTTACATCAACCACTGAATGGACTCCTTTGTCTTTACGTTCCTGTGCATCCCTTACTAAACTAAAAGCAAGTTCCAATTTTCTTCTTGCAACAACAATGTTTTATGCAATTGTGATATCTGATGGGTCATTTAGAGTTTTAAACCTTATATCTGTGTTTCGAAGCCTCCAATAGCTTCTTTAAGCCTTCCTCGATTTTCGTGCGCGGTCAGTGTCTTTTTTCGGAAGGTTTTTATGTGAAAAATTGATAAAAATGTGAATTTGTGCCTTAAAAGTCCATTTGAGTTGACTTCGGTCAACGTTTTGAGCAAACGGACCCGGATCCGTGTTTTGACGATCCC